CTCCTCCCTCCTCCTCCTCCTCCTCCCTCCTCCCTCCTCCTCCTTGTCCTCTTCTTCCTCCTCCTCCTCTTCCTCCTCCTCCTCCTCCGAATGATGAGCAGTGAGCAAGCCCTCGCCGAAGGGGGAGGCGGGGTTGGAAAAGTTGACTCGTCAGAGCACCTACGCCCAGAGGGATGGTGGGATCAGAAATGAAGCTCCAGCAAGCTCTGATCAGAGTTGCGGATGCTGTGCGATCCTATCGCAGCCGAAGATTGGTAGAATACCGTTAGACGTGAAGCTCCAGTAAGTTTCTGTTAGAGTTGTAGCCAACTCTGTACGACTCCCTTTCCTCCGTTCTCCGCCCCCTTCTCCACCCCTCCACGGGGTTTGACGCCGAGAGCACTCGCCCATCTGTTCTTGCGGGTCCTCTCTGCTTCTTTCCCCTATCCCTCCATCTCTCCGCCGCCGCTTTAGCTCAAGCTGTTTTGGCCCTGATGGGCTCGCTCACATGGCGCTGGGCTCCAGGTATGGGCAACGAGATGGGACGCCGGCGCCCGCCAGCAGAGATGCCGTTCCACGACGTGATGCCTTGCGCGGACGATTGGCCCCCAGACACGACCCCAGCTATTCTGGGGCTGACTCTTCCACGCGCGAGGGCAAGCAGGACCGTTGCGAAGGGCTCTCTCTACGAGCACCAGGAGTCGTTTCCCGTGTCGGCAGAGGACTGCGTCACCTTGATCGAGGTGCAGCGCCACATGCAGGTGTCGTCCCTCTGCATCGCGGTTGATCCGGAGAAGGATAGCCCGCTATCTATCCAGTTGCTTGCGGCAAACCCCGCCACCGCGCTTGTGGAACAGCGCTGCGTGAAAGAGGTTAAGTTAAGGACGCATGTTTGGGGCTTCTCTGGGGGCTTTTGAGAGCCTATCGGGAGCCTTTGAGGTTCGTTCTGGAGGCGTCTTGGTGGCCTCTTAGTAGCCTCTTGGGGGCACGCTAATGGTCTTGCAGGCAATCCTGTAGGAAAAGGCTGTCAAGACCAGCTCCACTTCCCTCTCTTGGGGCCTTTTGGGGCCGTCTTGGGCCGTCTTGGACCCACCGAGGGCCGTCTTGGTGCCCCCTGAGGCCCTCTTGAGGGCCTTCTTGGGCCGTCTTGGAGCTCCCCTGGACCGACTCCGGGACCTTTTAGGCCGTCTTGGGTTTTCGGGGGCCAGAAAGGGCCAGTAAGCTAAAATGCATCAAAAACCTAAGGACGATCATGGCTCGGAGGAGGAAAGGCACCGATTGCGCCACATTTCCTTCGTTTTCCCCTGATTGGGCCCCCCGGGGGGGCCTCGTCGCCACCGCAGGATTCGCCTCGAAGTTCTGGTCAGAACGCACCCCTGGAGAGGTTCGGGGAGTAGCAGTATCGGCACAGCTGGGTGTCCCCAGTGGTGCTTCGCTTCTCGAGTTCCTGTTGGGCGTCCTCTTTGGAGCCCTCTTGTGCCTGGTGCCGTCTTGGGGGCTTCCGAAAATGGCTCTGAGGGCCTCCGAGATTGCCCAAAGATGGGCCAGGAGGCTCCCAAGGGGGCCCCAAACTGGCCCAAGAGGGCCCCAAAACAGCCACAGAGAGCTCCAAGAGGAGCCGAAGAGGACCCCGAGGCCCCCAAGCCCCAAAGAGTCCCCAAGAGGGCCCGAAGACGGCCCAAGATCCCCCCAAGACGGCCCAAGAGCCCCCCAGGACGGCCCCACATGCCCCCAGGAGGACATACGAGACGGCCTGAGAAGGTAAAACACATGGCTTGTCCGTTGCTTTGCCATGGTGGTCTTGGTTTTCGTTTTCTCGGGCCCAGGTCGGCCGAAGGCGGCTCTGAGGGCCTCCGAGAGCGCCCAGGGGCTCAGGAGGGCCCCGAGAGGCTCCCAAGAGAGCCCCAGGGTGCCGTAGAAGGCCGCCAAGAGGGCCGAAGAGGGCCCGAAGAAGAGCCGAGCCCCCCGAGACGGCCCAAGAGAGCCCCAGAACGGCCCAAGAGGGTCCCAAGACACTCAAAAGAGCCCCCAGAAGACACCCCCCGGACGGCCCAATGACAGACGCAACTTTGACGCCAAGGCTCTCGAAAGCACCAGGTGTTTGGAATACCCCTTTCACACGAGCGTGGAGGAGGAGGAGGAGCAGCAGGAGGAGGTGGAGGAGGAGGAGAAAGAGGCGGAGGAGGAGGAGCAAGAGGAGGAGAAAGAGGAGAAAGAGGAGGAGAAAGAGGAGGAGGAGCAGGAGGACGAGGGAGGAGGTGGAGGAGGAGGAGGAGGAGGAGGAGGAGGAGGGAGGGAGGGAGGGAGGGAGGGAGGGAGGAGGAGGAGGAGGAGCTGTTTGGAATACCCTGCTGGCACGAGTCGGTGACGTAAAAATCTTTGAACGCCAAGGGTCCCAAGAGCGAGCAGTGGCGCCGAAATCACTTTACGCCAAGGCTTGTCAGAGCGACCGTGTTGGTAAACAGCTTTTCACGCAAAGGCTCCCAAGAGCCAACGGTGACGTAAACAGCCCTTAACTCCCAGGCTCCAAAGGGCGAACTGTGACGTCAACAACTCTTCACACCAAGGCTCCCAAAAGCGAACGATGACGCGACAAAGCTCTTCACACCAGGGCTCCCAAGAGCCCACGGTGACGTGAACAAGCACTTCACACCACGGCTCCCAAAAGCCAACGGTGACGTGAACAGGCTCCGAATTCCGAGGCTCCCGAGAGCGAACGGTGCCATCATGAGCCCTCCCGGGCAAGTCCCACGAGCGCTCTTTGCGTTCCCGTGCCGGCCCGTGCTCTAACACGCCACACTCCGTGCAGGTGCAGGCACGGCGGCGGCTCTCCGTGGCGGGCGCGGCGTCGATGCCGCCCATCCCCGAGGAGGGCGCGCTGGCGTGGTGCACGGGCCCCGCCTCCGAGACGCCGCAGGACTGCCGCAGGGAGCTGGGGAAGATCTGGCGCCAGCACTTCCTGGAGAGCCCCGCGGAGCTCCGCGAGGTGCCGCCCGGAGGCTGCGCCAGCGCGCCGCCCGAGGCCACCTCCTCCTCGTCCTCCTCGTCGTCCTCCTCCTCCTCCTCCCCGTCCTCCTCCTCCTCCTCCTCCTCCTCCTCCTCCTCCTCCTCCTCCTCCTCCTCCTCCCCCTCCTCCTCCCTCCTCCTCTCCTCCCATCCTCCTCTTCCTCCCCTCCTCTCCTCCTCCTCCTCCTCCTCCCACGGACACGTGCAGCGACCGGAGCGGCGACGGAAGTCTCGGGTGGAGCGGTTCCTTCCCCCAGCTTGTTTCTCTCTCTACACACTGTTCATTTCTAAGTATTCGACAGTCATTTGATTTATTGGAGGGCCAGGATCCTTTCATGTTTAAGTCTTCTATCCCGGGCCTCTTCCTGGCCACTGGGGGGCCAGGAACAATTAGAAACGAGCAGAGTTAGAAATGAGCACGATTAGAAATGAGCGACGCGTTCA